AACAAAAAAAAAAAAGTAAAAGGCACTACATAAATTAATAAAAAGTAAAATAAAAACATGATATGAGCATATGTCCTTTTCCTTTTCCTTTTTTCTTTTTTTTGCAATTAACCGTAACCCTACCCATATATGTTTATGTTTTACAAATGCAAACAAACAATAGTACTCCAACTTTTCATAAATGCCATTATATCACAATTCCAAAAGGCCTTACAAACATCTAGACTTGTTTGATCATTTGTTACCATGCATCGAGTATTTATACGGTACAACTCTTAATTACGTTACTTGGTTGTACCATACAACAACTCAATGCACGCAAAATCAAAAACATATTTACTTAAAACAGAAAAACTAATCTTCATTCTTCAAAAACCACCCCCACCATTCGATTGATCTTCTACAAAGCGATTTCAGCATGTAGAGCACTGAACCCAACTGTCTGCTGCTCCACCTGAACCTCCCACTTGGCCTGAGGAATTGCTCCATCTTTTACAGGGATGTACTCCTGGTCCCCCCCCAAGTTTTTAGAATTTACACAAAAGGAACAAAAAAAGTTTTATTATGACAATTAGATACAGACAAAAGAAAGTAAAGACTAAAGAGATTGTAAATCTGTCAAGATTCTTTATCACGGCATACCCATTTTGTCTCTGCTATTTTTATGAATATTTCATCAATTATTGGATTCGGTTAGCCCCCGACCAGACATTTTTTTCATACTTTCACTTTAGTCCCTACAATTTTACCATTTTCCATTTTCACCCCTTCAACTTTGTGATTCCAAAAAAATTAGTTTTTACTACTTCGATGGTGGAGAACTTGTTATAAATCCCACAAAAAGTAAAACTAAATTAAAGATTTGTAATTAAACCCCATTGTTCTTGCAAAAAGAAAGAAAGAAAGAGACTTTTCAAAAAGACATTAATGACCCTATAAGTTATATACCTTTAGAACCTAATGTGACCCACAAAAGAAGATCGTGAATAATTCTAGACAACAAGATCCGAAAGATATGTGAAGAAGTCTATAAGCCGCTTCCTCTTGGCTCTAGTTTCTTGAAGTGACATTAAGGACGAAAGACCCTATTGGCCTATACATTTATTGAATGACGTTTGTAGTATGTTTTGCATTTAAAAGTTAACCCTATCACTTACATAACATAAAAGAGTTGTACAAAGCATTTAAACATGAGATAAGATGCATATATATACATGCATTATCCATGATCAATAATGATGATGATGAGTACACACACATACCTCGAGTTTCTGAACAAGTTCTTTGGCATTAGGTGCAGAGACAAAGATGTGACGTTGAGAAGGTTTGATAAATCCATCATCAACTGCTTTATCGATGAATGTGAGCAGATAGTTGTAATACCCATCAACATTCAGTAAACCCACCTGTACAGTTTTATCATTTCCCACCAAAAAATATCAAAAAGATTTATCGTTTCAAGAAGTTTTTACCCTTTTCAACACTCAACTATATACCAGTTTTATGAGTAAAGTACAAGTAATCATTTGCACGATTGTTATAGATGCAACACTTTTTGCCACTACATACGTAAATCCAACAAAAAATACAAAGATTTATCATGTTGAACAAGGTTGCGGATTTAGGAAAAAGGAGTTATAGAACCATCGAGAAAGTGTACATACACAACGCGAAAGTACAAGTTTTATTTTTTTTACTAAAAAGTACAACTCATCGTTGCAGACTTTGTTTCGATTCGATAGGTTTACTTGTTGGAGAAAAGGGTAGAAAAGAAAGAAAGAAAAACAAGTAGTTAACAAATCCAAACGAACGTAAAAAGTTTTTATGCATAAATTAAGTACAAAAAATCTATTTATAGTTTTGTTCTTGAGTTTGCGAGTTTTAAAGAAGTGAAGTTGACGAAATTTACAGGTTTGTCATGGATTCCAAGCTGAGCCCAAGTAATAACTTCGAGTAATTCTTCAAGTGTACCATAACCACCTGTAGCTTCAAGAAAACATGTTGTGCATTGAATAGTTGTACAATGAAAGGTTTGTTGTGCATTAAAGAGTTGTAAGAAGAGCTAGAGAGGACCTGGTAGGGCAATGAAGCAATCGGAGTGGCGGGCCATCTCAGCTTTCCTTTGGTGCATGTCAGCTACAGCTTTAACCTCACCTATGTTTTCACCAGTTTTCTGTGGAATATTTTAATATATACTAAATATTAATATTAATTATATATAAAAACTTGATTTTTGTAACTTTTAGCGTATTTTTGTGTTTATCACCTCCTTCCCCATTAAAGCTCTAGGTATGATCCTGCAAAAAGAAACGTTTTTTTTTGCTTTAGATTCTTGTTTCATTTACTTGAAGAAAATCAGATGAAAAATAGTATATGTATATTCGAAGAACACAACACGTATAAAGTATAAAGATCGGTTTTTGTTTTTTAGTTATAGAAAAAGTATTAGAAATAAAGGGAATAATTAATACCCAAGAACATGACCACCACCACAGTGAACAGCTTGAGAAATTAAACCCATCAAACCAATGCTTCCTCCTCCATAGACAAGATCAAGCCGCTTTTCAACCTTCAATCATGACAAATATACTTATATAATTAAAGAAAAACATGCAAAGTTAATTGAATTTCGGCTAATTATAAATGAATCTTTTTTTTTTTTTTTTTAATTTATGAAAAGTCAAATATATACTTTATAGAACCCAAATAATTAATCTTTGATTAAGATTTTAAAAAGTTGTTATTTTGACTCTCTTATCCTCTTATTGATTCACTTGTGAAAGAAATATTACACTACAAATGTGTTTGTTTGTAATATACACATCGTTTTGGTGTATATTAAAGATTTTCTTTACTTCATACATTTATAGTATTTTCACTTACACATTATACACATACATTTGTGTTTTTCTGTGGGTATTCAAAAAAAAAAAAAAAAAAAAAAAAAATTCAAAGTACATTTGATGATGATAAGACTACACAAACATATATAACCATCTTAATGTGTTAAGTGTGTTTTCGAGTTATGAAACAAGATATAATCTCAAATGAATAAGTGCTTGCGATTTTGCATGAGAATTAAGAATCATACCAGTTCTTGAGCCAACTCAATGGCAGCATCACCATAGACATCTCTTTTTCCAGAACTACTTCCACAAAACACACAAACTCTTTTGAACCTTGACTTGTTTAGTTTCTGTTCATTCTCCATGTTTTGTGTTCGATTCTTTGTCAAGTTTATCTTTCGATTTGAAATGACGATAGTGATCCCTAACCACTCACCATGGATATAATTGTGAAGTGTAAAGAAACAAAGTCTTTTACTTGTGTGATGTGTATATATAGTACCCAATTAGTTCAAAAGATATTATTTTTCCACAAAATTTATTTTACTTTTCAAATGTTTGACATGAAATCACCTTTTTCTACAAATGAAATTGTAACGCTAATTGATAAAACGACTACTTTCCATTAATTATATATATTATTTTAAGGACGGTGTCACTCACGAATTCACTGTTTAGTTGTTTTTACTAATGTCACACCAAAACAGACTAATTTAAATCAAGACACAAGTTTTATAAAATATAATATAAGTTTTGAAATAAATATTTTCCTAAAAATAACAAATTTGCTTCTGATAATAAAAATTCTCATATTTGCATTTTCTTTCTCAAAAAACAAAAAAAAAAAAAATTGATTAAACAGATTTTATCTTTCAAAAAAATTTCATAATTCTAAAGTTAAATTATTTTTATTTTTAGGTTACAATTTTAAGACAAAATTGCAAAAAATGGTCCTTGTGGTATGCAAATTTTTGAGTTTTTAGTCCAAACCCCGTGTTTTTTGGATTCATAGTCCTTTTAGAGTGGTTTGTATGTGGAATTGGTCCCCGGACTTAACTCCCGTTAAAAATGATCTGTTAACCCCCTCATATGCTTCACATGTGAGGGTATATCTGTCATTTCATATGTAAGGGACCATTTTTTGTAATTTTTCCATTAAAATTAGTGAGTAACAAAATTTGTATCTAGTTTCCATTTGCTCTTCTCCTTCTAAGATTCTGCAAATTATGAGCAACATCTGTATCTTTCACCACAATCCTCTTATTCATTCACGAAATTGTCAACATGATAATCATTGTTTCAGAGTTCAATCATTCATACAAATCCCTGATTCTTCAATTCGATTTCGAACTCTACCCAAATCATTATCTAGGCAAAACCCTAACACTTCATCCCCAGAACGCCCTATAGAAAAACCCAGATTTAAATCCCAAACTGACTCAGATGATGATGATAAGAACTTAGATGAAGTCGCACCTTCTTCACCTTCCAGTTCCATTTCATCCAAGTTATTCGCGTCGTTGATTTAAAGTTTTAGGTAATATTTCTTGACATTTGTCTAGCTTTTACCATCGATTTTAAATATCTGAATTCTAGTAACAGTTTAAACGAGTTGATTTGGGGAGTATGAATGTCTAAAGGAAAGGTACGATTGAATTTTTCTTATCGAAGTGTGTGATTTAGTTCTTTTGATTTGTTTTGGAGTGTAGAGAGAAGCTTAAGTTAGATGAACTTGGAACGGAGATCATGTCGATCACATTGCTAGCTACATTAGCTCTTCCTGCTTTTTTGTATTCTTTTTGGGAGAATTCGAATCCGATTTGCACTTTTTCTGATACTGATTCTTTGCTAGTTTTATCATCTTCTGTAATGACAATCGATTTTCTTGCTTTGTTCATGTGGACGTTACCTAGGTTGAACAAAGCTAAAGTGGACATTTCTTGGAATTTTGATCCAGCTATGTCGAAAAGGTTCTGGAAGCTTCCTGTTGTGATTGTATCTTCCATTGCTTTTGAGTAAATCTCCATTCTGAGTTCATGAAGATCTAAATATGGATCTGTATCGAATCCTACATGGCTCTTGAAGAGTCTTGAGAACTAGACAAACCATTCCTCTTTGGAATTCGTGATTCCTTCCGATTTTCCCTCAGAAACAATGGGAAGTTGTTCGTTTTGGAAGAGCTCGTATGTTGGTTCTTTATCTGGAGTAACTTCCACTAGGTTTCTTCAATTGACAATGTTTTCTCTGAAAAAATTTATCCAATTCTCATATAAGCATTTTATGTATCTAGTTACTCCTTTTAGGCTATGCTGAATTGGCTGTTGTTGGCGTTTCCATATCAATATTCAATCTGGTAGCAAAATTGCTCAATATTCCTCTACTCAATATCACAACCTCATTAGTTGCTGAAGAACAAGCAGTATTAGTTAATGATGAGGATGATGATAATCACTCCACTTTTCTCAGCCATGGTAATTCCAATTTATGTATCGATAACTACTTGTTATTTACTCTTACTTAACCTGATCAAGAACAACTTTTTTTTTGTTTAGATAGCATGAGTGAAAGCAAGAAGAAGTTTCTTCCATCTGTTCAACTTTTTTAGCCTTAGCTGCTGCTTTTGGGATTGGGGAAACCATAGCACTTTTCTTTGGATTTGGATCACTATTGAACCATTGTTGTTGTAACAAAGCTCAAGAAGAAGGGTAGAAATAAGAGACGTTGGGAAACATTATGGAAGAAGATAGCAACAATGGGGATCTTTAAAAGGAATTAAGCCAAAAAAATGTTTATGCAAAAAGCATCCCTTACATATGAAATGACGGATATACCCTCACGTGTAAGGCACATGAGGGAGTTAACAGATCTTTTTTTAACGGGAGTTAAATCCGAGGACCAATTCCACATACAAACCACTCCAAAAGGACCATGAATCCAAAAACCTCGAGGTTTGGACTAAAACCCCAAAAATTTGCATACCATAGGGACCATTTTTGCAATATTGTCCAATTTTAATCTCTTACTTTAAAACTTACTATATTTTAAAGTGATATGCCGTGTTTATAAAATTCTTTTTATATTTTTGATTTTTATTAATATTACTTTTTTATTTAAACTATGTGTGAGACCCGTATAATAGACGAGTTTTTAAAAAATTAAAAAAAATAATAATATATTTTATTATGCATTACATGTTTAATAATTTACAAAACTGAATTTGGAAATAATATCAATATTAGTTGTGAATAGGGTTGTAAACGAACTAAACGTTCGGCGAACCATTCGTGAACTGTTCGGCGGGAAGTTCGTTTACCTTCGTTTATTTAATAAATGAACGAACATGAACAAAAATTATCGTTCGTTTAGTTAAATGAACGAACATGAACAATGATCTCGTTCGTTCATTTATGTTCGTGAACGTTTGTTTATGATGTTCATTTACGTTCGTTTATGTTCGTTCGTTTAAGTTTATTTATATTCATCTATAGTCAATTATTTTTTATTATATTGCTATAATATATGTTCAATTGTGTTTTATTATCTTTGTTCGTTTATGTTCGTTTAGCATGTTCACGAACATAAATGAACGAACATGAACAAAGTAATTTGTTAAACGAACGAACATGAACAAGAAAATCTCGTTCGTTTGTACGTTCGCGTTCATTTGTTGTTCAACTAACTTAAACGAACGAACATGAACAAGACCTTGTTCGTGTTCGTTTGGTTCGTTTACAACCCTAGTTGTGAATGAAGCAATTTTTGCAATGTTTCTGCAAATTATAGTGAATTCAAAAGGGATTGTCCGAAAATTATGTTTTTCAATTAGGTAGGTTTATCTGAATTTAAATTGAATTTAATACATTAATTGACAAATTACGTAAGAACTTATATGGAGACATTTAAATTTTTTTTTATTTTGTTTATAATATTTTTAGATTAGATTTTTTATAATTTAATACCAAAGCAAAAAAAAATATCATAATGTGTCAAGTGGATTTAAATGAAATTGAAAAATTAAAAAGACGTCATGTGTCATATTGAATTAGGTGATAACATGTGGCAAAAAACTTTCATTTATTAGGTAGGGAAATACATACCTATATATATACTGGTTAAATAAAACAAAATGCTAAATACGAATGATTAAACCGGAAGTTTATTTGAATTTGAAAATTAAAATAAATAAAAATTATGAAAAAAAAACATGCACAAATTAAAATTATGTATTTAGTTGTCAGGCTCATGTGTTTAACGTGTTAATTATAACAAAATATTAAATACAAATGTTTTAATTATAAATTTATTTAAAATTGACATTGAACTTTGAAATTTGAAATTTGAAAGCTATATAATCATTATAGTATGTTTCATTTATGAAAACTAAAGTAATGATAAAGTATAAAATGAAAAATGAAATAAATAACAAGTGGAAAATAAATATATTAAAATTATGAGAAAATAACATGTGACATGCAAAATTATTTTCATTTATTAAATATGATGTTATCAATTTTTATCATATTTATTATGGTATTAACTCATAAAATTAATATATTCTTACTAGACAAAATTGCAAAAATGGTCCCTATGGTTCGATAAATTCTGTAGTTTTGGTCCAAAATGAAATGTTAGTGCACCATTAGTCCAATTTTAGATACATTGTGTGGTTTTGGTCCCTATAGGTGTATTTTCTTGTTTTTTTTGGTCCACATCCCACCTAAAATGACTAATATGCCCCTTAAATAGTTATATTTTAATTTCTTTTATTTATTTTCTTATTCTTATAATAAAATGAAAACTAAAACGAAATAAACCCGTCACTCACTCACTAACTCTCTCTCTCTCTCTCTCTCTCTCTCTCTCTCTCTCTCTCTCTCTCTCTCGGATATTATCTTCCCAATTGGAACCATCAACACCAAAAACAAATTTAAACCCACATCGCCACCATCAAATCTTCTACTTGAACCTTGGCTTCACCGGTGTCGACTTTATCGAAGAAAGCTTTTCCGATGGAGACTTTTACAGTGTCCGCATCTTCATCTCCTATGCCTTCAAGACGGTTGCCATCCCAAACCTCCATCTTCGCCCATTTCCTTCTCCACCTGAATCGAAATTTCCACTAAAATCGAATCTGAAGATCGTTTTCGATTTGGTTTCTCAAGCTTAAATATTCTTTCTCTATACCACTGTCTCTTCATCCTATTCTTTTTAATTTTGGATTTTAGACATCACCACCAGTATCAGACGACCTTCCTCCTTGCTGAAAATGAGACTAAACTCTCACTCTGACCACCCCTACTTACTCTATCTCTCTCCCGTCACCACCTAAACCCAACAACACGATTTCCTTCTTATTTCCCCATTTATATGTGCGGATCTTGAGAACCACAAAACCACCGATAAACTTAAAGCTCCCTTATACATTATCGTCATCGTTAAATCGATCTATCTTCCATCATCGTCACTAGTATCTGATCTAGGGGATGTCGATCTAACCTTCATCATCGACAAGAACAGTGGTTTACATGCTTAATGTTGGAAAATTTTAGGGTTTCACGATGGGGGATTGGGGTGGTCCGATGAAAAGCGGAGCTCCTCTGTCAAACATTACTAAGGTAATGATGGTAGCGGCTGAAAACCCTAATCGTTGAAAGATGGTGGTAGCGACATTTAGGTAGGGACAGATCTAATCGATTAGAATGGCAGTGTTGATGGGGAAGTTCTATCGGGCATGAGGAAGGAAAGATGGGGGTGAGGGTGGGATTGGATGTTTATGGTGGACAATGTTGGGAGTCAATGGAGATGGTGGCGAACAGTGGTAGCAATCGGTGGTGATGGTGGTGGCCACTAATGGTGATATGTTCTTTCTTAAGTGCGTATGTGGTTTTTTGTTGAGCGAGAGGGAAAGAGAAATGGTGCGTAGACCCCTTTTTATTTTTTTTAAGTTAAAAAAATTAAATTAAATTAACATATGTGTTTCAGCAATTGAAGAAAAATAAAAATATAAGTTATAACGGCAAAATCATCTTTTTAAGTGTATAGGGACCAAAAACAGTAGAAATATCAAGTTTTGGACGATTGGTACAACAATATTTCGTTTTGGACCAAAAGCACATAAATTTGTCAATCACTTGGACAATTTTTGCAATTTTGTCTTCTTACTTTCAACATAATTATTTAATATGTGTATTATTAATTATATAATTGATTTACATTATACAATATTCTTAATTTATATTGACGTTTTAAACTTTTATGTTATTTATTGTGGTTTTAACTTTTAAATTTTTTATGTTTTTACTACCAATATCATTTAACGTGTTGGTATTAAATAACAATGTTATTATCAGTTTCCAAAATTAAGCGTATGAATTTATATGGTGTTACATCAAACAATATACACTTTCAAACCTTATTTTCGTCTATCTCCCCCGTATATAGTTGTTTTGATTGATTCTTTATTTAAATAGTTATATGGTCCGACTCATATGATATAATCGTTATCCTTCTATATATAAAATGTTGACACTTGAAAATCACATTGTACGTTATTGGTCATTTATATAGTTTCGTTCTTATTAATTACAAACAAATTCTCCAGCACAATGTAGGGGTGACTTAAATACTAATTATATATATTTTTCATGATCAATTATCACTGAAACATATTTGTATTATCTTAACTAAAGAAGATTACCCCACATTATGGGGTTTGAAGAGTAATCCTTTGTAAATTATACATGTATCATTACAAGCTTTATGGTCTTCCTTAGGCTCATTAAAAGTCATATAAACCCCAAAAGATATAATAAGCAAAAAGTAGTTAATAAATTCTCGTAATAAGCAAAAAGTAGTTAATAAATTCTCGTGTAAGTAAACATGTTGTGAAGATAAAGAACAAAATGCCAAGTTAGTAAAGACATAAATAGGGGTAAATTGGTTTCACCATAATTGGAGAACACGACTCCATCAGATGCATATCTCCTGTAAAATAATTTGGCAATAAATTTAATTTCTATATCTAATTTGATTGATGAATCAGATGGTACATTTCCAATCTGTTCTCATCAAAATAATTAGGTCTTTGGTCAAGATATGGAGTTCCCCAAAATTTTGATTGTTCTTTTTGAAAAAAGAAAGGTAAAATGGTTATTTACTCATTTGTAAATATGTTCTCATCAAAATGATCAGGTCTTTGGTTGGTATGGAGATTTCCAAAAGTTTTATTGTTCTTTTTGAGAAAAGAAGGGTTAAATACTTCCTTTTCTTGTTTAAGAACTTTTTGGAATATTTACAACTAATTGTTGTCCAAAATCAACATATTTTCAAATTTTAACAAAGTAATTTAACCTTCATCCATTATAGCAGCCTACATTACTCATATTGATAAAAAGAACAAAAGGTAGATTGTTATTTTCTGAAATTTATTTAAATTGATACCTGTGTAGAACTGGTTTCGTGTTTTTCTATGAAGGTCATGGGTTGGGCAACGACACCTAGCGATTTGTCTATGGCTATCTTCATTGTAATCCATTTCACCAACGTTCTCTAACAACAAAATATGATTAAGTTGCATGCATGTAATCTTTTACATAACCTCCTCAAAATCCCCTCGCAAAATGAAGCCTCCATCCATCATATCCTATTTCTTGGCTGTAAATATCAACATTCACTAACCACTTACAAAGACTATTGTTTAAGATTTTCCCTTACATAGTCCTGTGAATGATACCGTGAAAATTATCTCCACTACTCTTATTTCCTCAACCCTACGTAGAATGGTCCGAATAGGGTTGAACTTCAAATTATATCAGATTGTCTTCAGGCATGTTCCAGATCTGTTGCCATGCCACGTAAAAAAGAAAATTTGGATTAGAACTTCTAGATGCCATTTCTTTAACATTATACATGAAGTTTGATTCTGAGTCCAAAATGGATGGAGAAACTAACCAAGTGTTCACCCAAAAACCATATGGACGATTACCAAATTGAAAAAAAAACATAATGTGAGTTTCAAATTACACTCTTATAGCATCAATGTAGAAGTATTTCAGATAAACAAACAAAAATATCTTACCTTATTATGTTGTACGTAGGCTTTCATCAAGGGATCATACTCCTGCATAATTTTGACATCAAATTGAGCTTTTTTTTTTCTCTTACACATTTCTACCAATTAAAAGAAGAAAGAACACAAAGATGAAGCAGAAAAGGAAAGAATATACAGACATTAGCAAAAGCTTGGCTGAGTTGTTGAATAAGATCCACCAGGGAATGGCTTTGAAAAACTGCTTTCCCATGGCGTAGAAGCCCTTTGTGGATGCAACCACTTGAAATAACTTCCTGTTACATATTTTAATCTGCAAAAAGAGAAGATATTATCATCTTTGTGAATCATTCACTATGGAGTACCATATTATCATGGGGAGAGGGACCTCATTGCAAGCACCAGGTGGTTAGAAGATGTTGCTAACGCCTTCCATACTAATCGTTGTCCCGAGGGGGACAAGGTCGGACTAGCTTCCTGCCTCTTGAAGCGTATGGCACATGATTGGTGGGAGGAGGTGGGGCATGATGTGGGTGATGATGCTGTTGCTCAAAGACCTGGGGTGATTTCTCGACCAGGTTCCGATCCGAGTTTGCACTGGTGATTAAGGTGCATCAGCAGGCGCGAGACTTCCAGGATCTCCGCCAGCTACTAAGACAGTGGCTGAGATGACCGCTATGTTCAGGTATAGGGCACTTCTGGTTCTGCAATATGTGGAGGACGAGGAGATGACGAAGGTTTGGTACCATGAGGTGTTGAGGAGTGATATTCTGCAGTTTGCTAGCCGATCCAGCTGCAAGATGCTGGAAGACATGATAGCACGGGCTACACAGAGGGACATTGATTTGGAGATGGAGAAGAAGAGGATGCCAGATTCTGTGTCTAGTGTTGAGGGTTTGGAAAAGAGGCTAAAGGTGGTTGATACGAGAAGGAAGGGCCAGCGGGGCCGAGGCCTTTGTAGCAAGTGCGACAGGTCACACGAGGGGACGTGCAAGGTAGGTGGTTCTTACTACTTCAAGTCTGGCCGGACTTGTCATATCTATAGGGATTGTACTGCTACCACTACGATCACCCTGATATCTGATATGATTTGGTTCCAATGCAATCAGAGGGACCAAAAGAAGGCCCATTTTCTGAGTTTGGCTGCAACAGGACCGGTGTCAAAACCTGCTCCTAGAACTCTCCGGATTACTGACGGCCGCCAGGGGCGGGCAAATGCGCCTGCAACGAAGAACTGGGATTTCGAGCTGACGACAGAAGAGGCGTGTGCAGCTCCTAATGTTGTGACAGGATGTATGTGTTGGATTAATGTCTAAGTCCATAACTATATTTGGTATGTACTCGACCTGACCTGGCATGGTCCGTTTGGGTTGCATGGCATCATACACTTGGATAGACTAAATGAGAGAAATAAGACACTTATGGTTATTAATATATTATAAGTTATAATATATTAATAATAAGAATAATAATATTTAATTAGTATTGATCAAGAATTAATTTGGAATTAATTATGTGATCAAAAGAAGACTAATTAAATATATGGGTTGATTGTGTAAATCATCCATAACTTATATAGTTGGCCAAAGCTCCATGGATAATCAAGTTGGGTTAAACCCATAGGATGCTCCATGGTGGTTACATAACCCATGGGTCGTGGAAATGAAAGGTCATGACAATTAGGGTTTACATGGTGTAACCCTAATTGTAACACACTATATAAGCATCATATTATTCACCAAAATCGGCCACTAGTGTGTGTAAAATAAGGGCTAGCCGATTTCATGATGTGTGGATTTCTCTCTAAGTTATTCCAATAGAATTTAATGTTGTATGAGCCATTTGAGGTGCCACATTTGAGGCACTAGGCACTCAAGCCCCATGGAGTCAAGCTACACTACAAGAGGTATGTATTCTATCTATATTATTACCCAAGTATCTATGATTGTGTGCTAGATAGGGTAATACCTCGGAATATTAGTATTTGCATGTATATTAGAGAAAACATAGATCCAAGGTATTTAGGGTTTCATGTACACCATAGGGGTGTTAGAATGCTCAAAACCCAACAGTGGTATCAGATCATAGGCTTGTTTTCCTGTATACTTGATGTAATTGCTGAAAAATCAAAGTTTTTGTGGTGTCTGGGCAGTGGACTTGCCGAGTTCCCTCATGGACTCGACGAGTCCAAGGAAAAACCCATCCAACTCGTCGAGTTGGTTCATGTACTCGACAAGTTGGACCCCCTAACAACTTATCTTCGAGTTTTGGTGCTGGAATTGGTCTAACATCATTATCTTAAACTGTTTTGGACTTATAAAAACTATTTTTTGATGTGATAATGATTATGGTAAATCAATTTCAGAGTTGTTATCAAAATTTCAAGTTTTATATGGTTAATTTTATGATTCTTGAAATCGTTGATATTCATGTTCTTGAACTTATGAGTTTTGATGATCATAGGAATTATTTGTAACCTTCTTGGTAGTTTAATTCTTTATCATTATGTGTTTTAATGGATTCTATAACTTGTCCTCAAGTTATGGATAACCAAAATGTTGGGTTTTAGCCATAAGAACTTTCCTATGTGCGCATGCAAAACCCTAATGCTTGGATCTAGGCTTTCTAATTAAACATGCTTTGAATCCAAGACTTCTAATGGCTAATTAGGTTAAATAACAACATTGAAACAGATCTAGAATCATACCTTTGAGTTCCTTGTTGATCTTGTTGTCTTGAATCAAATGTCACTCCTCTAATGGCTTACAAACACCAATAGAAAGCAAGATGATTTAGGAGAGAGGAGAGGGGAGGAATTCGGCCAGAGTATCTCTACTTTTTGATGGTGTGTCGAATTCCCTCACCCCTAGGGTCTATTTATACTTGTAGACTCCTTAAGGGTTACAACCTAAACCCTAATTGGATAATCTTCTCTTAAGGCTATCCAAATCCATTCCATAGATAAGCCTTTGGACGATTTTAGCTATCCTATATCTCATAGAATCGTCCAAAGCATATCCCAATGGATTTATAGTCTAAAGTTTAACTATCAAACAATTGACAGTTTATACCCCTTTATTTAATTAATCTCTTTAAGTCACCAAATTAATTCCAATTAATCTATGACTTATATTAATCAAATAACCATATATTATTCCTTATAATATTTACTCTCTTTTAACAAATCATCCATCAAGTTGCTATGGTGAAGGCAACCCAAAAGGACCATGCACAACCGGATCAAATACTTGCCTAATATAGTTGCAGCCTTAGACACTATTCCAACAGTCTCCCACTTGGATAAGTCTAGTAACTATACAAGTACAATTCGGTTTGCAATCGTAGCTCTCAAAGACGCTGTCAACTCTGATCTAATCAATCTTGTCCTTTAGATAAGGGATCGTACAGTCCTCTGTTAGATATCATGCTGACAATCCTATGGAATGGTTAGTCAAGCATTTAGATTTCTCGATCTCTGATTTATTTGACATAGAACTTAATCAAACACATCAATTCAGTTCTGACCGGGCCCGGCACATAAGTCAAATCAAATCATCGAGGCCAAGATATCTTTTACCTCTTAGATAAAAGTTACAGATAAACTTCGACTTATATGCATTTACTTATTCATTAACCAACTATACACAACAATGCGTTTTATAACACCGAGTTACTGATGCGTTTTCGCATTATCAATGTACAATCAATTAACAAATAATAAACCATATATCTAGGTTTTAAGACTATATGATATTATCGTCTTGCGATCACCTTTTATATCGTATTCCATAAGGTGATTCCAGCAAGCGCGGGTTTATTCCAATGCTCAAAACCAGTTCATAAGCACTCATGAACGTTGCAGCAACCCTTGCTATGTCTAACACCATTTAGACATTCTACACACCAATTCATGACAATCTTCATTCATATCTACTCCCAACATATGAACGATTGTGGACCATTTGAATAATTCGATTATTCCTAATAAACTCAATTATTCTGGAAGTCAAAACATGCAAAGTGAAACAATAGTTAAACAATTAACATGTGACAGTAACTTTACTCATAAATAAAACTCCTTTATTTAATCATCAAATGTTAATTACATTTATCTATTATACGTTTCTAATACTATCTAATCTATACTAATATCATCCTTCAGCCCAATACTCCTAGCATGCTGCAAGTGCTTAACCCTACTCAGTCCCTTCGTAAGCGGATCTGCTGGGTTATCTTCTGATGATATCCTCTTCACTACGAGTTGTCCTTCTTCTACACGATGTCTAATGAAGTGATATTTTCTGTCGATATGTCGAGATCTACCATGATCCCTCGGTTCCTTGGTCAAGGCAACCGCACCTTCGTTATCACAGAAAATCTCCATGGGCTCCTTTATGGCCGGCACAACTCCAAGATCACCAATGAAGTTCTTTAGCCATATTGCCTCCTTCGACGCTTCGCTCGCTGCGATGTACTCTGATTCGCAC